TCAAGGATCAGTACCTTGAGATCTCAACTTCACTACCCAAAGACTCGTCTCTGTATGGATTTGGTGAAAACTCACAACCCAATGGAATCAAGCTTGTTCCTAATGAGCCTTACACTCTTTTCACTGAAGACGTCTCGGCGTTTAAACTCAACACCGATCTTTACGGGTCACACCCTGTTTACATGGATTTGAGAAACGTTAGAGGTAAATCCTACGCACACTCTGTTCTGCTTCTCAACAGTAATGGTATGGATGTGCTTTACAGAGGCGGTTCCTTGACGTACAAGGTAATTGGAGGTGTTTTCGATTTCTATTTCTTTGCTGGACCGTCGCCTCTCAATGTCGTTGATCAATACACTTCGTTAATCGGAAGGCCAGCACCAATGCCGTACTGGTCTCTAGGTACTAATATCCCAAATTTTTGTTCTATGTAAATTATGTGTTTTCTTACTAATCTTTAACATGATTATTTTCTCTAGGGTTTCATCAATGTAGATGGGGATACCGTAATGTATCAGTTCTTGAAGAAGTGGTGGATAATTATCAAAAGGCTAAGATCCCTCTTGATGTGATTTGGAACGATGCTGATTACATGGATGGTTACAAGGACTTCACATTGGATCTTGTGAACTTTCCTCATGCTAAGCTATTGGCTTTCTTGGATAGAATCCACAAGATGGGAATGAAGTATGTTGTGATAAATGATCCTGGTATTGGTGTCAACGCGAGCTACGGTGTTTACCAAAGAGGCATGGCTAATGATGTGTTCATTAAATATGAAGGAAAGCCTTTCTTGGCTCAAATGTGGCCTGGTCCGGTTTACTTCCCTGATTTCCTCAACCCAAAAACGGTGTCTTGGTGGGGTGATGAAATCCGACGTTTCCATGAATTAGTCCCCATTGATGGTCTTTGGATCGACATGAATGAGGTCTCCAATTTCTGCTCTGGATTGTGCACAATCCCGGAGGGGAAACAGTGTCCGAGTGGGGGAGAACCTGGTGTGACGTGTTGCTTGGACTGCAAGAATATAACCAATACGAGATGGGATGATCCACCTTACAAGATCAATGCTACTGGAAACAAAGCTCCTCTTGGATTCAAGACTATTCCCACAAGTGCTTATCACTACAATGGTGTTCGTGAGTACGACGCTCACAGCATCTACGGGTTCTCTGAGGCCATCTCGACCAATAAGGCCTTACTTGATGTCCAAGGCAAACGTCCCTTCATATTGTCACGGTCCACTTTTGTTGGTTCAGGTCAATATGCTGCTCACTGGACTGGAGATAACCAGGGAACATGGCAGAGCTTGCAAGTATCTATCTCAACGATGTTGAACTTCGGAATTTTTGGAGTTCCTATGGTTGGTTCAGACATATGTGGATTCTTTCCTCCAACACCAGAAGAACTCTGCAACCGTTGGATTGAAGTCGGTGCGTTTTACCCCTTTTCAAGAGATCATGCCGATTACTATGCGCCAAGAAAAGAGCTTTACCAATGGGGAACAGTAGCAGAGTCAGCTCGTAACGCTCTTGGGATGAGATACAAACTCCTTCCTTTTCTCTACACTCTCAACTACGAAGCCCATATGACGGGTGCACCAATTGCTAGACCGCTCTTCTTCTCTTTCCCTGATTACACCGAGTGCTACGGTTTGAGCAAACAGTTCTTGCTCGGAAGCAGCTTAATGATATCACCAGTTCTTGAACAAGGTAAAACCCAAGTTGAAGCTCTGTTCCCATCAGGTTCTTGGTACCACATTTTTGACATGACTCAGGTCGTTTATTCCAAGAACGGGAAGCGCGTGACTCTCCTAGCTCCGTTGAACGTTGTGAACGTGCATCTTTACCAGAACACGATATTACCGATGCAACAAGGTGGGTTAAATTCCAAAGAGGCGAGAACAACTCCGTTTAGTCTGGTCGTCACTTTCCCGGCTAGATCATCAGAGGGATACGCCACCGGGAAACTCTTTCTTGACGATGATGAGCTTCCAGAGATGAAACTTGGAAACGGACAGTCAACATACGTTGACTTCTACGCATCGGTTGGATGAGAGTGTGAAGATATGGTCTCAAGTGAAAGAAGGTAAGTTTTGCGTTGAGACAAGGTTTGGTGATTGAGAGAGTGATTGTTTTGGGACTTGAAGGAACAGGGCAAGTTTCTGAAATACATCTTAATGGAAGTCCAATCTCCAACGAGACCAAGAGGATTGAGGTAAGCTCCAAGGAGCAGAAGTATGTGGTGGTTTCGGAAGATAAAGGAGAGAGTAAGAGCTTCATGGTTGAGCTTAAGGGCCTTGAGATACTAGTGGATAAGGACTTCAACATATCTTGGAAAATGGCTAGTACTAATGGCGCTCATTAATTTACATGTGAGAGTTAGTCAAAACAAGGGTTTGATCACCCAAAGAGAGAGAATATATGATTTGGAAAATAGATTATGAGGTTTCTTGTTGAAAACGTTATCACAGCCTAACACATTCGTGACTAGCTCTCTTGTCTCGTGAGATCAATACAATAACATATATTAGTAGATCAAACACATTGTCTAAACTAACTTAACAAGTAACTTCAATACTAATCACCTTAATCAGTTAGAAAATTACAGTTAGTTATTTGAAAGCATTTCAATCAGACAATCACTTATGTTAGAATACTTTAAGGTGATCTTAATTATAAATTATAACGAGCGGAGATATTATGATATATGAATCGTATTCGTATGTACTAAAATCGAGATATATAAGAACAAAATAGATGATTTTAACGATTGAAGTACACTTTAACCTACTAATTTTAAAGAAGAACAGAGACTGTAAACAAAAGATAATGACCAAAAAAAAAGAATAA